CTCTACACAGTGAGTGGGTACTCGGCCCCTGGAGGTAACCCCCTTTGGTTTGAAATGTGGGCTCCATCACTCGCTAGCTGATTGACACCAGGCAGATGACATCACCTCTCTGTGCCCCAATTTCCTCACCTGTCTAACGGAGCCAAGAATGCCCTAACTTAGAACTGTGTTGTGAGGATCAACAGGATGGTGCCAGTGCCACTCTCAGTGCAGTGCCGGACGGCAGGACAAACACGGGCTCCATTGTGGTTATCAGCCAGGGAGCAGCTTAGGATGTGACTGGGCCATGTCTGACTCCTCTTTCCCTGTCTGCTTGGATGTGTTCAGGGGCAGCAGAAGATAGGAAAAGTGGGACCCAAACAGTGGCGCTGGGGAAATTTGTTCCTGTTCCCTTTGGAAGGCTGAGTGGGTGAGGCGGCACGGGAACAAGGCTTGGACATCAGAGGTCTCATCTTCACTGGGATAAAGCATAAAGGACTCGAGGTGGTGTGTCTGGGTGGGCTCAAGTGACCAAGCAAGTGCTGTCACCTCCTTCCTAAGACCTCATCCTTCTCCCAAGTCCTCCACAAGAGCTACCTTCTTCACAGATCAAGCTTGGCGTCACTGAAATCGAAGTTCTGAATTCTGCCGTCACCCCAGCAACAGTGCCATTATGATGAGACACTTGACACAGCCCTTGGGTTGATGTCATTGGCTGTTACCGTGGCAACCTAGGTCTCAGCGGGTCTGGCTGAAGTCCGCCATTGCCTTTTCTTCCAGTGGGATTGTACTGGAGGGGCTGGGCAATCTATTTATGTTCTCGAAATGGAAAGAAGGATCTGGGTGCTGGAGGCAATGCGTCTTGGAGGAGCTTCCACTGAGCCCCCTGGCCTGCGGCTCTTGCATCATGTCTCAGGCTAAGTGGCCTCAGGGAGTGGAGACAGACAGGGAACAAAAAGGCAGACAAAAGGTACAATGCCCACTTGAGCCAGGGAGCCTGCAGCTGCTCAGACACCTGGTAGGTGACTAGCAGAGGAGGGACACCTCAGCTCTCCATTCTGCCGAAGCGCCCAGGGATCACAACCTCCTCCCTGCACTTCCTGGGTGGGGGGACGCCAAGATGTTTGGGTGTTACGTAAAGGAAGATGTTCCAGGTGTCATATTGGAAAGCATCTGACCTCTCAGATGTCCACCTGCTTAGGTGTAGACTGAACTCAAAGGCCTTCAAGGGCAGGCAGCATGGAAGAAGAAGAGCACTGAAGAGGGAGTCAGATGCCCTGAGCTCTAGTCCTGGCTCTGCCCCATTGTGCTCTGTGATCCTGTGCAGGTCACGGGTCCTCTCTGAACTCTTCCCCATTTCTCACAAGCAAGATGCAGATGTGGTGCCAGATGGGGTGGCTTTTCTCATCTCTAAGATTATTATTATTATTTTCTGAGACGGAGTCTTGCTCTGTTGCCCAGGCTGGAGTGCAATGGTGTGATCTCGGTTCACTGCAACCTCCACCTCCTCGGTTCAAGAGATTCTCCTGTCTCAGCCTCCTGAGTAGCTGGGACTACAGGCGTGCACCACCACATCGGCTATTTTTTGTATTTTTAGTGGAGATGGGATTTCACTATGTTGGCCAGGCTGACCTGGAACTTCTGACCGCAAGTGATCTGCCCGTCTTGGCTTCCCAAAGTGCTGGGATTACAGGCATGAGCCACTATGCCCAGCCTCTCAGCTCTTAAGATTCTGACGCTCTCTTGGAGAAGTTGGTGACGACTCAAGGGGACCAGGAAGCCATCAGCCCTTTGAGACACTCTCAGACAGGCATGGCTGTCAGTCTGGGGTGATCCAGAGGGAGCTGGTTTTTTACAGTCCATGCATGTAGTTAGTCTGCCTTGAATCTTGCCCTCGACTCTGAGTCTCTGCTGACCCTAACCCATGACTGGCTTCATCCCATCTACTGCCGAGTACTGGGACCTACCCCTGCTAAGCCCAGGGTCACCAGTGCTTTCCCCACATATCCACCTGGAATCACAGAGAAGCTCACACCCAATCTGGAGAGCAAATGACCAAACTGAGGGCCTCAGCTCACGAATGAGGAACACCAAGCCCAGAGAGGGCAGGGACTTGCCGGAGGCCACACAGGACATTAGCAGGGCTGGCTAGGAACCAAGGGCTCCTCCCTCTCACCCAGTGCTCTGCCCACTGCTTCATGCTTCTCCCCTCCTTCTCAGCTTCTTCCTTCCTGCCCCAGGACCATGCACAGGGTAGGTAATGTGGCTCTGCCAAAGGCAGGGTCTTCTGAGCCATGAGGCCTCTGCCTTAGGGCTGCTGCCAGCCCAGGCTGAAGTGGCCCAAGTCCTGTCCTTGGCATGGAGGGAGAGGGATGACTATCCCAGTGGCCATTGCTATGGGTGAGCACAAGGGGTGACTGCAGCCCTTTGGCCTCCCAGGGTCTTTGTTCCCTTCCCTCCAGGCTGGAGCGGGGAAAGGAATGTCCTGGAGACTGAGGTGGGGCTGGGCCAGGCATGGAACCAACATTCAAACCACTACACACAAAGAGAGGAGGAAAGAGGAGGAAGAGGGAGGCATGGGTAGGGTGAGGGAGGCTCCACTGAGATCCCACTGCCCTTGACTGGCAGCTGGTGGAAAGTGGGAGGAGGATAAGTCTAACCTCCGATGTCCTCATCATCCCCTTCTACAGCCTGTTGTGGCCCTGAAGGGGAAGCCACTGGGCCTGTTGCATGGGGGACAAGGGAGTGGGTGGCCACCCCCACCACTGAGATAGTGGGGTCCCTCTCATAGGCAACCCTACCCTACTGGGGGTGCTGTGAAAATTAGTGAAATCAGATGCAATCGATGGGCAGGGAGGGGTGGGGTAAGAAACAACTCCAGTGCAATGCCAGACGGGCAGGCTCCCACTGTTCACTTGAGATGCTCCTCTCCACCCGGGTGGGGACAGGGGACACACTCTCAGGGCGGGTGTTCTGGAGGTGTGGGTACAGGTAAGGGGAAACGGGAGGCACAGCCAGGAGTGGGGCAGGAGGGAAGGCCAGTGCGTGGGCAGGCTGAGGAGGGAATATGACCCCCCTCAAGTCCCCAAAGTGGCAGGCAAAGGAGGGGTCCTGGATGAGGTGGCCCCTCATGCCTTGGCTCTCCCCTTGCAGACATCGAAGGCAGCCTTTGTTGCGCCCCCGAAGGCCTCCACCAGCTTGTCTTCCCAGGGAAGGATGTTGCCCAGCAGTGGCGCAGTGCAGTTGGCAATGCCCAGGACCTGGGCTGGTGTCAGGGCGTGGTCCCACAGATTAAACTGGGCAATGTCACCAACAAAGGCCTGGGTGGCATCAAACCGGCCACCCAGGGTATCCTGGGCCAAGACAGCAGCAGAGAAAGGAGAGATGTGGAATGAGGGAGCAGAAAAGACAGGCAGGCTGACTCAGTCAGCCTCTTGTCCCCGAGGAAGCCCCACCTTCGTCCCCACTGAAGCCCTGCCCCCAAAGCTTTAGCCCCACCTCCAAGATTCTAGCTCCTTGGGCATGTCTCTGATCTCTCTGGCCCTCAGTCTGCCCATCTGCACAATGGGGAGGTCCAGCCCCAATACCAGCCTGAGCCTTACCTGCTCCTGGCCCAAGATAAGGATCCCATGAGGCTTGATGGGGTGCCAGGCAGCCAGGTTCTCACCGGAGCCCTGCAGCTCCCCGTCCTGGTAGGCAGACCATAGGCCATCCCTTGTGGTCCAGGCGACGCAGATGTGGTGCCAGTCATTGTCTTTCAGGCTCAGGGGCAGCTGGGCCACCTGGACACAGGTCCCCCAACCCCAGGTCAGAGGTGCCCCAAGGCCCAAGGCCCATGGCTGAGGAAGCGGGGTGGGGCTGGGGAGACCCATGTCCATCCTTCCAGGGCCCAACCCCAGGCCTGACCCTCTCCATCCTCCTGCCCAGTGTCTTTCCCTGACTCCTCTCTCCTCTTTCTTCAAAGATCAAACCAGATCACAAGGGACTCTGGTTTTGGTTTTCACTTGTCACGAGGTAGTTCACTCACTCTCCAACCTATTAAGGTCTATAAAAGTGGCCTATTAAGGTCACTTAGGGTGGGAGGGATGTCTCATAATCCCAA